TTTACTAAGGCTGAAGGACTGCTGGACAAAATTGGGTTGAAAGCATACAAAATAGTCCAAAACTTTGTAAAAACTATGCATTGTTTAAGAGTTTGTTAGAACCTGAAAAATATTTATTTGATATAAATATTAGGAAATACAGAGTAGCATTTTCAAGATTCAGGGCTTCAAATCAAAAACTTGCAATAGAAATTGGTAGACATGGAAATTTACAAAAAATTGATAGGTTGTGTAAATATTGCTTAGACAAAAATAGTTATGAAATTGAAGATGAGAAGCATTTTTTTACTAGTTTGTCCACGTTATGAAGAATTGAGAGCTCGGTACATTCCTAATATGAATATTAATAATACATCTTCAAATTGTTATATTGCTATGATGAAAACAAAAAATCCTGATGCTCTGAGCAACCTTGCTAGATTTATTTATCATGGTTTGATTGCTAGAGAAAACTGATACGAAATGTCGAACTGTAACCTTCTGATGTATTTGCTATGGACTGGTGGCCTTTATCAATTGAATAAAGTTGATGACTTCAGTGTTCATTCCATACACATGGGTGAAAGTTTTCAGGATTATGCCTGATTTCAGGAATTTCGGTCTTCATTTTGATCTTTTTTTTTTTTTTTTTTTTTTTAAATGGTTTAAATGAGATGAGAAATTGCAAGCCATGTTTTCAGGATTTTCAGTTTTAACAACTTTCACCTATGCATACAAATTATTTGCAATGCTCCAGATGTTTTATCCTAAATTCTAAACAGTGTGTGTCTGCTTTGTATTAACACTTTTAACTTTGAGCGCTCACAAGTGTCACAGAGGACAGAACAATTTTAATGCAATAATTTTGGATGATTGGACTATCATAACCAAAAAGCATTCTGTGTCCAAATTTAGATTGTAAAGATGACAGTGCACAGATTGAGCTTAAGTATCCAACATACAATGATTGAAACCTTTGATACTTGAACATTGACTCCCACTTGAACACTGACTGCCCAGTAAGCTGATTTAAGGTGCCTGGAAAGAGGGCTAGTGATGATGGACACTTGTGCATGGAACACCTTACTAGTACATAAACTTTAAGTTGGTGACTTGCTGAAATCAGAACACTGTGAGCTGTTGATGAAATGTGTTCTTGTGACTTTTATTAAAGTAGCCAAGCAATGACATATACTGGGCTTACTTAAACCCATGAAGCCTTATAGGACAATGGTACACTACCCCAATTTTAGTTCAATGAATCAAGCATTAAAACAGAAAATGAGAATGATGGGCAGTCATTCAGTTTACCAGAAAAATCCAGAAATTCATTTGTGTCGATTTTTTTTAGCCTTTAATTATTACATATACTATTTATCTGGAAAGGTAAGATGTCATGTTCATGAACTACTGCACATTGTCTTTCAGTCTTTTAGGTAACAGTTGTCACAACAACAGGAATATCTGCCCTCCTTTTAAAAAAGATTGGTGCCCACACAGTGCATTCAACTTTAGCCTTGGATGATGGGAGACTCAACAAAGAAGACTTGGCCACCCGTATTTTGAGGGACCCTCAATAAAGAGACAGTGAAATGAAATCACAAATATGGTCTTATTTAGGATGAGGTGTCCATGTTATCTAAGAGGTTGTTTGAGCAATTAGAGTACATCATTCGAGTTGTCAGAGGATCTGAGATTTTATTGGGAGGTGTGCAAGTCATTTTCAGTGGTGATTTTTATCAACTGCCACCTGTCCCAAATCATGATTATGAGGATTATGGGCATTTTGCTTTCCAGTCAGATATATTTAGCTAAGTCTTACCACATTACGTATTGTTGACAGATGTCAAACGCCAGGAGGATCCTTCATTTATTGCTGCTATTCAAGAGTCAGCAAGAGGTTCTCTCTCTAAAATATCTGATGACTATCTTTTGGGACTCTCTCATACCCTATCAGATAAATCTCCACACCCAAGTTTTCTGTTTGCAACCAAATTCGAGGTGGAGTACCACAATACCAGAGCCCTACAAAGACTACCCGGAGATCCAACAATTATAACATCTCAAGATGAGGGCGATGAAGATCAATTAAAGAAAATGCCAGCACCACATGTAAGTTCCTTGAATTTTTAGATTGTTGTTCTTTGATTAAACATTAAGTTTGATTAAGAGAGGCAAGACAGTTATGCAAGATGAGACCCATGACCAATCTGAGAAGACCATAGAGGAAGAGCTTGGGGCTGAATCAGCTGGGGAGCCTTGGCTGGATCACCTGGGGAGTCTGTGGCTAGATCATCTGGGGCTGCTCAGGTTCCAGAGGGTTCTGATGCCCAGGACTCTGACAGTGATTTGGATTATGATACCTCCGATGACGAGGGTTATACAAGATTTGATGAGCAAGAGTTTAATGATAATGCTCTTCTTATAGTCAAATTCAGACAAGATCTTAATAGTTATCTACAACAGGATTTGTGCAGTATTCATGGATTTTTTTAACACAGACACTATTTGTATGGTTCTTACTGGATTTAACTGTATTATTTTCCTTTTTTGCAAGTTTGACCATTAAGTGCCATGCCATATTTTTGTTTAACATACAGAAGATTGAATATGCATTGACACAAGTTTTCAAGTATGTTGTGTACTATATAAATGATGGGAGTCTGTAACTACTTTTGTCTTATATATATGTGAATATGATTCATAGAAATTACTTTATCATGAATGGTTTGATGTTCTCATTTAGAGTCTTTGATTGTCTGATTCATGGATTCGATGTTCTCCATCCAAGTTGGCAAATGCATTGAAAGTGGAATACCAGGGAATTGTGGAAAGAGTTAGAGACAACCCTATTTTGAAAAACTTAAATATACCCCTGCCCAACATAAATGCCAAGTCTGTCAGCAGCTTGCTCTGAATAGAAAAGAAAAAGGCTGATTATTTTTTCAACAACAGTGCCTTCAGTGACCAGTCATAGGAGGGTTATATCTGAATCACCAATGCCTGATGCTGACAACCTTCCCCTTGTTTGCCTCCACCCTCTCGTGAAGAAATCAGTTATCTAGACATTCCTCTTGTAACTGGAAAGCATCTCCTCCAGAAAAGGAAGCTGGACTTAGATGAACCCCAGCCACTGAAGCAAACATCAGTGAAGCAGGCCTCCAAACAAAGTGTAAAGATGTTGGAGATGGTTAGTGGACTATCACAAGCTTCACCTAAATGTACATGCATGTAATGGCAACTGTGCCACCGGCATTGCGCCCCAAGAGTTCATTGGGTGCACCTGTATTGTTGGTGGTGCCTACACAGCAGTCTAAAAAGTCCACAACTTTTACCCCACAGGCATCCACCATCCAAGGTTTGCCCTTCAGTTTGAAACCACCTTGTGCCATACCTTTACTGCCAGAAAAGTCAGATAAACCCTGTTCTGCATGTAAGGTACCAAGATGTGGTAGACAGAGGAAATGGTGCGCCCCATCCAAGGATAAAACAGGATACAGCAAGCAGAAACTATTTACTTTTTGTCCAGCATCTGGAAAACCCACTACTCCTGGATTTGACAAAATGAGGTTTCACAATTTTGAACATTTTGAGGAGGTTGTGGACAAGGAACTAGAGAAAAGGAAAAGCAGTGACAAATCTAGTTAATGTTCCACTCGCAAGAAGAAAAGTGCAAATGGCTGTGTAAAGTCAACACATATGTATCATCTAGTGACACATGCAGCTAATTCACAATGTGGAAAGGACTAAGGGTTTCAGTTGTCCACACTGTTGTAAGACATTTTCTCAGAAGGGGCACCTCGAGAGCCACTCAAGGCAGCACCTCTATCCCTTCATCCCTATGTACATGTCAGGAGAAGCTATGCTGCAATCCACTCCAAAAGCTAGATCATTCCACCCTGAGTCTGCTTTAGACCAGTTGTGGTTAGACCCAGCCAGTGCAGAACCCAAAGTCCTCCAGCTAGGCCATGACCAGTGGCGGCTTATGCTAGTCACGACGTTTGAGAAATACCAGGGCAAGTCTAACAAGTGGCTACTGGAAAATGATGTTGGATGGGTAGTCTGGCTATTGGCAGAATGCTGTCTGAAGGGAGAGTCCAATGTGCAGATCAGATGGCAGAAGCAGCAGCTGCTGGACTTAGTGAAAGACTATCCAGCAGTGAAAATTCTCCTGGAGAGAAAGTTACAGGTAACATATTTACTATTACTTTTTCTAGTTTTTTCCATGTAAATATACCCTGTTCCCATTTATAGCTAATGCTACTATGACAGGTTTATCCTTATAAATGATGTATTTATTAATTGTTTTAATTTCAGATTATTCATGTTGTTAGTGCCTATACTTAGCACACATTAAAAATTAATATATTTATAGAAAGCCAAAGAGATAGAGGAAGCAGAAAGATCACTGAAGACCGTGAAAGAGATGGAGGAAGATCCTGGATATATTGAAGATTCCATTCTGTTGATACAAGCAGGTAAAATGATGAACCTTTGCAGATGTATAATGTTGTCTTCACGTGACACAAAGAGTAAAATAATGTTGAACTTGAAATTTTAACATTATCCTTATAGGCTGACTTTATTATACCCTGACTGAAATGCATTATACATCAAGTATCCCATATCCAGCACATATCCCATGAGACAGGGACTCAATGTTATATATTTGTTACCTTCAGAGGAAGCATTACAGCAGACCCAGGTATCTACACACACGACCTCTGTAAAGGAGCTGGAGCTCACTGCAGAGTTCACCCCTGATCCAGAGGCCACCTGCATTGGAAGGGTGGCAGAGGTCGTGGGAGGGAAGCCCAGACCCTAACATTAAGTGGCTAAAGGAAAATGAAGAGTATGGACTTTTTACTCCATCAATACCATATTTTTTTTCAGTTGAATATTTAAAAAAAGTTTAAGATTGTCATCATTTATTGACAAACATAGTATATTATTGAATTACTATTTAGTTTAACTATGCATTTATATTCTCTTCACCATTTAGGTAAACCTTCTTAGCCCAATGGAATGCAAGAATGGACAAACTGAGAGTGGCAGGTGGTCAAGGGCGTAAGTCATCATTCACTGACCTGAGACATATACAACGGCTTAACCACCATGCTGAGGTTTTGTTTGGGAAGGAACATTTGTTTGTAAAGAAGTATGATTCAAAGTAGGGGTAAACACTGTTTGGGACAAGATTCAACCTTAAACAGTGCAGCCCAGAAAACCAAGTTTGGATGGATGAAGCATGCTCAGGCAGCTAACTTGCTGTATCTCCTTATTAAAATGTTAAGCCAGAAATCACCATCAAAGCTGGCAAGTCTGGTTAAAGGACAGTATCAGGGGATTGTTGACAGGGTGCGTGACAACCCCATTTTGGCAGCTTTGAACCTTCCTCTTCCCAATATCAATGCCAAGTCAGTGACCAGATTCATCACAAAAGAGGAGAAAAAGGCCAACTACATTGCAACTGTGATACCCAGCGTGACATCTCACAGGAAAGTGGTTTTAGACATCCCTATCCCTGATACTGAAAGCCTGCCCCTGTCACTGCCCTCACCATCATGTCCTCAGGTCCAGTATCCATTGCCACCGCATGTGACAGGAAAGAGGCCACTACAAAAAAGAAAACTGGACTTAGGAGAGCCACAACCATCTCCATCAGATGACAAAACTAACACAACGGGTCTAGATGCAGTTTCTTTGGGCATGGAAAGTGAAAGAAAATGTCCTCTTATGACCAAAGAGACTGCTCCTGCTGCACCTGTTCTGTTAGTTGTGCCATCTCAGCCACAAGGCCTATCAGTGGTATTTGGGCGGCCCAACCAGCCTACCTTTTGTTTTCATGCCTCCACCTCCACCAGTGCAGTCAAAACCTGTCATGCCCAAAAAGTCCAGTAAACCTTGTGCCCTTTGTAAGATCTCAAAATGTGGTGGCAAAAGAAGGCGATATACACCCAGAAATGACTGAAGGCAGTGGACAAAAGATATTTACATTTTGCCCTACAAGTCTACAAATGAGGGATTTGATCTTGTATATGAAAGTTATGAACATTTTAAAAGAGCTGTTAATGAAGAACTAGACAAGAGAAAAAAACATTGTATTATTAGAATGTTTGGCTTCATCTGTTATCATATTTATTTGTAACACATTCGACTAGCTTTTATTATTTGTCATTAGTGTTCATCCTCTTTTTAACTTTGCAGTTGATGAAGAACAGTCTAGAGAAGTGGAAGAAGAAGAGAAGGAAGATAGTGGTGAAGGTGATGAGGAATCGGAGGGTGAGGGGTTGGTATTAGATCAAAAGGACACAGATCCAATCACATCAGAAAGTCACACACCTCTGTAACACAAGCAGAAAAAGTAGATGAGGCACATATGGTGATACAGCATTTTGCATAGCTGCACAGGTGGAACGAGCTGCCAATTTATCTATAAATTTTTATAAATTTCATGTTGTACAGTCTACTGTAAATTTTAAGGCTTTTAGACTCAACATAGATCTATTATTATCACTGTATCATAGGTGATCAGTCCAGTTCTTCAGAACGTCCTCATGGCACCTAGACACCTCCATCTACCTGGTTTTAAGGAGGTTGAATATCTGGCTGTGTCACTTCTACAGTTGGCTGATGACACTGTCAGACACATAATTCTAGCACCACTCAGGAAACAAATAAGAATAGCTGCACTGGCTCTCCATGACCCTGACAAGTCCTACTCACAGTTCACCAAAAAGTATACATCAAAGTGGGGATATACTCTCTTTGGCAGATGTCTAGGACCCGAATCCCCCTTGAGTAGTACAGCCCAGAAAACCAAGTTTGGGTAGATGAGGTAAGCCCAGGCAGCCAGTATCACCGAAGAATCTTGGCTTAATTACATACTGATCTAGATTATTAAGAATCACCCACCAGTTCATCAGAACCTGTGTACATCGGTAAATCTAATGAAAGTTCATTCAAAGAAGGTAATGCTCAGCACCTTCTATGGGAGGAACAGAAAGAGCAAGCACAAGCAAAGGGCACAAGATTGACGTGGCGGCACCCTATGATAGTGAAGTGGTGCATGTCAATGAGGGCAATTTCTACCTCAGCTTATGGTTTCATCATTGACTCTGGCTTCAGAAGATGCCAAGAAGAACTCTAACAGACTATGAACATTACTTAACAATTACCAGTGGAGAAGAAGCCACTGACAGATTCATAGCTGCAACAAAATTTGATACTCTCTAAGACTATCAGAAAATGTATCATTGCTATTTGATGAAGTGCAAATTAAGTCAGACTTGATCTGCAACAAGCACACTGGACAATTGATTGAACTATGCAAAAAACATACATTGAAATTTACATTTCAGAAAAATTTAAAAGATGGTGGCAACAAAGAACAAGATCTTGCCACCCATGTTTACTGTTTATGGTGCAAGAGATATCTGCAGATTATTCTTTCCCCCTTGCTTTCTACCACTGTTGCGCTTTTTCAGCATCATAACTGAAACATCAGAAATGGCAGCTAATTAACTGAACTTGAAGCATCAATTCTTACATCTCAGCTTCAGTAGCCATCTTATATTGTTACTCCGCCTAAAAAAGGCACTGCTTATGAACATGGAGATTCACGTGTCGGACTATCCTGCAGTGAAAACAAATACAGCACCACTTCACATCTTAAAATTTAAAATGCAGTAACTAACAAATTAAGCTGGTTGTTTCAAGTACTAATTGATAAATATTGTAATCAGATCAAACAGGCACTTTATATATGATAAAGAATGATATCAGATGATCTTGTGTTTGAGCCCTGTCAGTTTTTAGCATACTATATATGGATTTTGTTTCTTGGTGCTTTCACAGCATGCAGTTTATTGATTAAATTTAACAGTTTATTTGTTCACTAAGTGACCCATGATGTGGAGGTCAAATTTAACTGCTGCAAACATATTAAAAAATGAAAATACCCAATTGCATACTGCTCTTGCCTCTCCAAATATTTATATTTTCATTCAGCATCCCTACTGTGAAGATAGTACTTGACTTGCAAGCATCAGTATGTACAGTGGAAACCATAATTAAAGATTTCATGGGACCAGCAGGCCTTGACGTAGACGGCATACCTCCCTTTAAGGTTGATGAAGTCATGGATGTCCTCTGGGCTAGATCAAGTCAACACATCAACTGTATGTTCATATGCGTGTATGAACATATGCTGTTCCATTTTTCTGTCCACTAACTGCTAGTTACATTAATTCTCTGAAAGATAAAAAATACAAAATATTAGTTAACTCATTACAATTTGTTCAGGCATACCAATTTATGTACAGTCAATATGATGGTAACAATCATGGTGTAGCCCTGCAAAAATTCAAGTCTCATTTTTGAAGCAAATTTTTTTGTAAGGTCTTCATGTCCATTTCTTATACCTTCTGTGCCTTCTGGAAGATGTGGCATCGTGCCACTGTAGGTAAATAATTGCATATAATTGATTACTTTTGCACTTTGCACTCTACTTTTTAATACTTCACAAGCATTTAAATTTGACTTGCTATTAAACACCAAAGGCTCTCAAAGGTACTTATTTTTCTTTTCAAAGATACATTAAAAGAGATACGTTTAATGATTGAGATTTTTATAGTAAATAATTCTTAATCATTATTATTACTGGTGTACCTGTTCTTCTTTGCTGCCCAATGGAATAATTAACATGTTGCTGTGGGTCAAGGGTGTCTGCCATCTAGTTAGATCCAAGGAAGAATCGGTTTCTGAGATTTTGTCACTCTGAACCACACTCTATAACACCTACGCCACTTTCAGAAAAAGTTAGGACCCTGAAGAGGATATCAATACACACTGGTAACTGTTAGTTTACTCACTTCACTTCCAGAGAAGTGAAAAAGAACAAGATCTAAAAGAGCAAAATTTCTTCACATTCAAATATTCATTTATTCAAACCTAAGATTATTTGACTAAGAAAGATTAAATTAAATATACACTTATAACCAAAATTTAGTTTGATGATTTTATATCAGGTTTTGGATGTAAAATATCACCAATGTTCCGTGTATAAAATTCAACTTGTTTGTTTTTCCGTGTTTAATATACAGTTTACACAGAGCAGGAGATGGTTGAGGATAAGGCTAAGGAAGGAGATGAATACCATATGTAGATAACCTGTGAGGTCAGTTGGGTTTTTCCATAGAGGTCACACTTGCTGTACAGGGAATTTAACTTAATGACATCATCTGGTTTAGAGATCATTTTGAAATGGCTTGCTGAGGTGGTAGTGTTGCATGGCTGGAAGAAAAGGAAGAACGAATTATCAAAATAGTGCACGGACTGTTTAAAAAGGACTCCCAATGCGAATGATATACTTTAAGGAGTGATAGTTTTCCCCCCGAGACATACATATTTATAGTCTAAAGAGTTTGTAACAAAGGATGTTATGCATTTTAAGGTATAGATAAAGTACAAGGTGCTGAGCTTTACGAGGAAAAAGAGCAGATAATTGTCTCGGCTTCGCCTCGCCAATTATCTGCTCTATTTCTCGAAAAGCTCAGCGCCGAGTGCTTTATCTGGCTTAAAGCATGAGTAATTAACCTTGTGCATTGGTACATGGAACGCATTCGTGGATGACGTGACTTTACACCAAATAAAGCATGGCGCGACCTATTGTCTTTTGACAGGAGAGTGCTTTAAGGTATAGATAAAGTACGCGGCGCTGAGCTTTACAAGAAATACAGCAGATAATTGTCTCGGCTTCGCCTCGCCAATTATCTGCTCTATTTCTCGTAAAGCTCAGTACCGAGTGCTTTATCTGGCTTAAAGCACGAGTAATAAACCCTGTGCATTGGTGTGTGGAACGCATTCGTGGATGACGTGACTTTACACAAAATAAAGCATGGCGCGACCTATTGTCTTTTGACAGGAGAGTGCTTTAAATACCATTACGGCATTAGCATGCGAGGGCAATAACCTACTGCATGGTAAGTCACTGATGAGAAAAGGAGTAAAAAAAGTGAACCCAAGTGGCAACAAACACTCTTGAGTCTTCTGATAATGAAAGTCTATTAAACTGTGATTCACTTAACGGGATACATAACCTTGAACATTAAGCGAGTTTATCCCGGGATTTTAACAAGAACAACCTACCATTTATAGGGTATTTTCAAATTTTACACCAATAAACTTCATCTTGTAACGTCATACTCATAGCTAGGTATTCCTGTCACCCCGGTTCATATCCTTAAACTAGTGGCTGCCTTCGCTTCACATGCTGAATATAACCTGATGGACGATAATTATTGAGTAAGCACAACAGAAATGGAATGGCAGACTGTTCGTGCTGAAGCACAGGCCTTTCTCTCTGGCGTGTTTCGGGTGTGCCTGCTTGATGTGCGGATGTAGACCTTTAGGTGGCGCTTCTCTCAAGACAGTATACATTCGCTACAAGGGTTCAGATGTAGGAATGAATATAAAGCACAGTACCCAGAACGATTGTTTGTCGGGGTGCCCGCGGGCACTTTTTCCAAACACCATTCAAAAGTGAATGTTTGATTAAGAAAACATGTTTGAAGATGTTTCTGACAATCAAGCTTGTTTCCATTCTACCAGCGGGAAAGCCGTTCACCCAGCTCAGATCGGAGAATGGCTCAGCGAAAAGAACGACTCAGTCTGCCAGCTGTGAGAACGAAAACACCCAAACCCAATTGATGTCACAGGCATGCTCTTAAAAGTATTTGGTGCACAGATTGAACTATGATTATTTTAGGGTCCTACATGAAGAAGTTTGTATTAAAGTTTCACTCTCCTGGAACCATGAATAATGAAAAAATATAGCCTATTCATTGTCTATCCCCAAAAAGGAACATAGGCCTACGTTACTGTCACAAATGCTAAACGTCCAGCCGTGAAATGTTTTACTCACTTTGAAAATTCAGTCATCACTTGTTTTGTTCTTTGATTTATCTCCTACAAGTATAACGTTGTAAAAATTATAATAATTCTGTATAAAGCAATTAATTGTTTTTGAGTGACTTTAGTTTGCTTGTCACTGAATATTTTAAAAAAGGGGGAAATAAACCCCACCGACGGTAAAATAAGCATTAAATAAATTTTCCCATCGTGATCCAAATATTATATCAGAAATGTCAAACTATCATGAATCACAATATATTTTTCGATCAGCAACAGAAAACACTGTTTTCTATTGCACAAGTACTTGAACAAAATGAAATTTTTTGACAATTTTTCTGGGGAACATACATTACCTAGTATAAGCCATGACGCAAACCCCCCTTCATTTACAGTTTAAATATTTATAAAAACATCCTTACGTCATGTATGACTTAATTACCATGACGGAATCACTACAAAATGTATCGGAACGTATAAAAATTAAAATTAAATGACCCGAAACATACGTTACCATACGTTTCCGGAACATACGTTACCATTTACGGCTTTTGCATAATGTAAAGACATGGTAAAAATTAAGTTTGAATTTAAATTTAGACGGTCGTGGGTTTTTGTTCTATACACGTATATGTTTTAAAAATTGAATACAACTTTGAATTCATTCAATTTTATTTTTGGACACTTCAGCATGTGAAATGCACCTCTATATATATATATATATACTATATAAACCGTTAAGATATTGTTCTTTTATTTAATCATGAAAGATTATAACATGAGTGATACATGGAATTCTTTATTGATAAACACCTTCACATATAAGGTACAATCACCAGATCATGGACTTAACATTTAACTACATCAAATGAATAAATAGATAAATGGATAGATAGCTGCACAATTATGTAGCATGCATATGCATAAAGCATGTCATAATCACGTAAGGTTTGATGCACTCGCCGAGTCACTTGCTCACAGTGAGTGGATAGCACCCAAACAGCGGGGGTTATTAGAAGAATAATAAAAGTAAAATGATACACAATAGTTATGATGATGATTAAAAGGAAGTGATGACTACTAAACCTAAGATCAAATTTGAATATTACCACGAGCTATGAGCTGGGCTCTTCTTTCCATGCATTTTTGGATAAGTATAAGACTGGGTTCCCACAGATTTAGATCGATCCGTCTGGATCGACCTAACTCCCTGGGGGTTCACGCTAAATTGCTGTCAGCTTCCGGGAGCCGAGCGCGCACAAAAGTTAATAACCCCCTTACAGGTTTTAGTAGGCAGCAATTTAGTGAGACTCCCCAGGGGGATAGATCGATCTAAATATCTGTGGGAATGGTCTCTAAGATTAACTATTGTCCATTTCCCCAGATCCCATTAGGGTTTTGAAGAGCTCATCGGTATCTTTAAAGTTTATGTTAACGAAGCTTTGGATGTTAGTCACAAAGGGGCGTTGGAGGTTATCATGAGCTGGACATTTTAAGAAGAAGTGACATATTCATATTCATATTCTATCTCCCCGGACTTACAGATGGGGCATGTTGGATACATCAAAGTTAAATCAATATTTATTTCTCAAACTGGCGTCGGGTTAGTAGACTTTCAGCAGGACGAGTAGGAATAAAACGCTTCACAACAAGTAAAATTAAAATATTTTTAATGACGGGCCGTGGCAGCGTGTTGAAAATGAAACTTACCGTCAGTATAAATGTTCCAGGTGGGTTAATTTAAAATCAAAGAAACATATATAACAAATATGTATTATAAGGCGTTTTGACTCACAACTATTCAATTGCAAATGTGTACTTATTGGAGATTTGGTAACAGAGCTGCCATTCCTCAAAATCAGAATTACAGACTTATTTTTTGTACATGTATATGGAGTATGGCCTCTTTGTGTTCTGCCACAAGTCTCTAAAGCAATGTGCGCGCTAATCTTCGAATTACCTCTTGTGGGATTCGGTTCCACTTTTGAAGTGCATGCCTGCTCCGGTAGGTGCCTGTTTTTTAGGATTCTATTGGACCAAATGTTTAATTGGACTCAGGTCTGGAAAATATGCTGGTCATCGTTGAACATCCAAAGCCTGAGCTGCATGGCAACGGGCATTGTCCTGTACGTTAGACGATGGGAGCATCTATCGTCTATGGCAGGAACGCTTCAAAACCTGATCATTTTAGTGCTGAGTCGTTAAAGATTCTCTAGCTCATTGTAAGTGATTTTGACGTTGGATGGGAACCAGATCAATTTTTCTGTAGGATCCATATGCATCTTGCTGTAGGACTACTATTTCGACTGTTGTGCCGTTTAGGGAACGCCCATTTTACCCCACCACTTCCAATAACCGAGTGCAGTCTGGAGCATGCCAATGACAGGCAAACTTTCCTCCCTCGTCATAGGCCGCATTCATATCGAGTTGAGCCATGGCTCTAAAAAGCCACGGCCTAAATATGGCGGAAGTACATGAAAGGAAAACCGCCTAATCTTTTAATAGTCTCCCCTCCTCTCACACGCCTCCCCATGCGTCGTCCCCGCGGTGGTACAGTCATTAAATCTCGGCTCCATTGGGACAACACATGGGGAGGCGTGTGAGAGGCGGAGAGACTATTAAAAGATTAGGCGGTTTTCCTTTCATGTACGTCCGCCATATTTAGGTCGTGGCTTTGTAGAGCCATGGCTCAACTCGATGTGAATGCGGCCATACGTAGCTTGATGAAACAAACGAGGCGATAAGCCTAAGGGTAGCGCTTTTATGGGTTGTGAACAGAATTTTCATGCCACACCCATAACACGCAACCAAAATAAGAAGTGAACATTTTACCATATTTCATATTCCTACCAATTGTACCATTCAAACGCTGATGTGTGTAAGAATTTAAAAACACTACCAAAAGACAATATATTTTAGAAAAAAAATTCGTTGACATTCATTTACATAATACTAAATAAACAGTAAAATAATAATAATAAATAATGTGTAATATTATTTATTTTAGACAGGTCACATACTGCAATATTGAATTTAGCATTGATATTAGTGGAATTATTGCTTACTATATCAACCCCTCATACAACAACAGCTTGGTTGATTACTCACATGTAGACTTTGTTAAGTTTACAATTTTGTTGTGCTTATGGGGAGTGTATTGTCAAGATCCTCTTGTTTCTGGCACACAGGTATGTATCTTTCACCTTGCTTATGTGCGAGCACATACAGTATAAGAAACAGGCAAACCTTACCAATTGCACCACCGAGCATTATATACACAAAATACATTCCGTTAATAGGAAAGAAGTAGCCAAAAATTGGCGGGAAACCTAACTTTCCTACACAAGATCCCACGTAAAACATAATCGTAGTTTTTCCAGTCACATGAATATATCTTTCTGCCCATGATATTCCGGCGGCAAACAAAGAACCCATCCCTAACCCATATAATGCTGTACACAACCACATCACAATCTCATGTTTGCCAATCAGAAATGTCAACAGTAACATAGCAACGACAATCAGTGCAAGGTCTGTTGCAATCATAATTGTTGAACTCACAAATTTTGACAACAAGATAGAAAAACCTCTTGACGTAGACATCAAGCCCCAGAAAACCGTGGTCAGGTGTGCTGCCTTAGGTTTGGGCCAGTTCAAAATTCTGAATCCAAAGGTTGTCACAAGAGCAGAGAAACTTAATTCAAGGCCAACATACAAAAGATAGAAGAACGCCATAAGGACCAAAAACACGCCCTTAAAGATTATGGGATCGTTTCGAACCGCTTCACTTCCTTTTCTTTTTTTGGCATCTTGTCTTTTCCAGGAGAAACAACTTTGTTCTTGAATACAGGTTACCATAAAAAGCCCACCAGAACACAATAGCAGTGTTGCAGTGACAATATAAGCATATGCAATATCTGTTTCTGTCCACATTTCTCTCGTATTCAAAATGAGTGTTTCGTTTCTGTTATCATCATGAATCGAAAGAGCTGTATCGTTTGGAAGCTCCATTGCCACACTGGCCATATTGTTTCTCGAGAGGGATTCGTCCTCACCATGTCCCACTGAAGTGTCATTAGGTAAAATCCACGTGGATGTTTCATTATCGCCTATACTCATTCTTTTCGATAAAAAGGGTTCGGCTATTACTGGTGCCAAAAGAGCCCCAATACCGAACGTAAAGTGCAAAGCTTGCATGTAAGGTCCATTTTCTTTCCCCCAAATGTTGACACAGAGGGCACTTCCACCTAAAGCAGAACAATGTGAGATAGTATTTTGCTACCTTTGTCAAGTCTATTGCAGCATTAATTTTATTATTGACAGATGCACTTGTTAGTGCTATATATATATATATATATATATATATATATATATATATATATATATATATTTGTACAACGTATGGAAGCGAGTCTTGTCACTATTATTGTCATTATTTTGCAGATTGTTATGCGTACTGTAGTAATATGTTACATATTTCAATATATTTTCAGTTGCATTCAATTGTTATGTTATATAAGAAAGCAGTCTATACCTGTATCTAAACAACCAGTTGTTACCCCCTGCAATGCCAAACATACAGCCAACCAAGAAAGATGTTTTGTGAATGGAATTAGAACCGTAACAACACACGTCAGGATCATGATCACACTCAAAAATAGGTGATGGTTCATGTGGTCGTAGAGGAATCCGCCAAGTATGGAGCCAACCATTGATCCAGCTGATCGGCCGCTTATGGCATATGTGATTGATTCCACTGAAGTTTGGACCTGTTCTCTCAAATCAATCAAAGTAGGGCCGGGGATAGCTATACAAGTGCCCTAGAGAAAAGAAATCAGTCAGTTAACTGTTTTTGTACTTCTCTTTAAATACCACTTTGGCTATATATTGGACAGTTTTTGTTCTTCACAATTTGCTTAGTTCTTAAGATGTACCCATCAAACAGTAATGGTAAGTTCAACTGGTCTCATTACTTACCAGTGCCAGAAATGAAATACAAAGGGAAACTGTCGTATAGCGTCTGCCCTTACTGCATCGACAGGAATCCTTTCCTACTGCAGCACTTATACACCTCGGCTCTGTAGTGCTCATGTTGGCGAAGAGAATTTGAGCTACTGTCGTCTATGCCGTTACAAATGCTCTATTACATGCATTCTAATCTAATCTGGGTCGACTTTGTATGCTTTAAGGTAATGTATCTACTCTTTCTACAAACAAATACTCGTCACTTCCCGAATGGCACTTTTCGCAAATGCATTGGTATGTTCGTTTGTTTGTGGTCAGATTTGTACCCGGGATAAAGGCCATAATTTACAGATTTTTCCTTAAAATATTCCAGTAGATTGGTTATTTGTCTAGAATGATGCTGATTGATTTTCATTCGGATCATGTTTATCACCTAGATGTAAAAATTAGAAGATTAAAAATTTAGAAAATGAGAATGCCCATTGACTTTTTTTCAAATTCTGTATTTTTTCCAAGTGATATACTAGTGATACTGGAGGCAATGGCTTCCGATAATTGACTTGGGGGGAGGGAGGCAGAAAAGAATGAAAAGTCTTTATTAACAGATAAAGAAATATACAGTACTTGTATTGTTTTAGCGTTAAATTACGTTTACAAATGTTACTGAGAACATATGTACTGAAAATTCCTTTAATACACATCTATCTCTTCATATAGGTGGTAACGCTCTGGTGAAATACTGTATTTCACGTGAAAAAATAATGTTGCATGTAAAAAAAATCGCGAAAATACTAGATGTTCTTGTTCTTCATATAGACACGAAGATAAATACACATTTGCCTTACCGAACTTGCGTTTACAAATAAGACTTGAAAGCAAACGAGTTCAATACTGACAGTGCTGTCATATAGGTTTCCCGCCAATTATGAATATTTCAGCGTTTTAGCATTTGGCACCTAGGGAGAAAGCTCTTCTTCAGTGCAGTGCAGTAAAACAATTGCATGAATGAGATTTGTAAAATATTATTTCATTGACAGAGAGCAATATGAGTGTCCAGAAGGGAATTTTCCTGGGGTAAATTGTCCTTATTGTCCGCTCGACAACTGCTGATCCAAAACTAAACCAAATGTGTGGTAAGGGTAACTTTTCAATTATTGCAGATGCATTGTAAATGTGGTAAGATTGCTCCGGTAAACCAACTGTGTAAACGGCATAGCGAAAACAATATTCTTGGAACTAATGCTATCATATCAGTTCACAGAACTGAACCAAGCAGGACAAACGAGCGTGTACAAAAAATGAAAGGGATAACAACTGTTGGTATGAGATGCATATTTCACAATAAAGGGAAGTTTGGCGTAGTCAAACGACATTTTATGGCGACAACAATTTCCATAGCTTATTGATGCACAATCCGCACATGCTCATTTGCCTCTTTACAACCCCACAAACGAAATTTGTGCGAAATTGTTTGTAAATAAAAACTTTTGCTGACTCATTGCATCATGATTTTAAGGATGATGAGTCGTGTCGAATATTTGATATATAATTTTATCCCTTAGGCCATAACATTTATAACAGGCAACAATTTGTTACATTGTTAGTATAGTGGGGTTATACATGTATAATAAATGCGGACTTGTTTGGCCAGATATCGAACAACCAATATTCTTTTTTCCCTTCTTTCTTGTTGTGAATGGAATTATGAAAAGTTTGTGGTGCACTAGGAAGGAGGAGGAGACATAAATACATTATAAACAACTCACAGTAATATAATAAATTCCATTTTACAACCAAAATAGCGGTTATCGCATTATTTTGAAATCTGTGCTTGCCATTAGACTACGTGGGCCTTTACAGATGGCTATACCTCCATAATAATATCTAAAGGTATATCTTAAGATATTATTACAAAAAAACCAAACTTTTTAGAGAAAAAAAAACTTGGACTAACTTTGAATTTCGGATTGGATTCATTAACCACTGGATAATATGGGAAAATTGTCTTTTACCCCAGATAAATCCTTTTTATTTTTGTTTATTTATTTAATTTTTTATTACCAAACCGAACAGTTGTTATCCCTTTAAGCTGGCTCAGTTCCAGTATGACGACTGATATGACTGGCCTAGAGTGTGGACAGAGCCAAAACCTACTTTCCTTATCAGAAAGTTAAATGGGCTTGCATAGAAAGGCGTTTCGCCTGGATACATGTAACAGAGGGACACTTAGGTGACTGCATGTGACGCTAAGTTTGCACTTAAGATGAATGTCTCTCAGAAGATGTTTACAAAAAGTACCGAATCGTCAAAAGGTGGTTGCTGTAGATTTAGTAGTGACAGGCGCTTCACGACTTTCTCCCTGTGTGCTGCATTTTTCGCTCTGGTGAGTTAACTGGACCATGTACTTGAGCAGCTGTGTGCTGTGCTTATTATATCGAAGTAAAAACCTGGTTAATATTTCAAGGGGGTGGGGTGGGGGTGGGTGAGTAATAAACAGCTATCAATACACTGTAGCTGGTCCAGGACGGGGATAGCTGACATGTGCTCCCTTCCCTTACTTTCAGAATCTCGTTTCTATTTTAATTCAAATGTTAGACTAGTCATTCTGGTAGAACTAATCTGGTACCGCTGGCAGATCAGAGAAATTTTTAAGGAAAGGGTGCAAAACACAGTTAGCGATGCCATTTTCGTATTGTATATGTAGAGGGTACAGGTAATGTAAATTGCAAAAGGACTACCTCGGGTATTTACGTGTATTGGTCCGGATATGTTTTAAAATTTCAGGGAGGTTTTATAGCCATACCAGGCCCCACTTTGATCGACTTGAGAGAGCAAGTCCATGCATCGGTTGAATCTATCACGTACATTATCAGCGGTCGGTCAGGTGGTTTAATTCTCGGTTCCATATTTGGTGGCCTTCTTTTCGACCACATGAATCATCATTTGTTCCTCAGTGTCCTCATGATTTTTACAGCAGTTGCGACGATTCTTGTTCCCTTCACATCAAATCTTGCTGGGTTGGCAGTATGTCTGGCGGTGCAAGGTGTTGCAATGGGTTCTTTAGATACAGGTACATATGTACTTGACTGATATTTTAAGTGCATCTGTGTTCAATTTCGCGATTGAATTTAGATAATTTGTATAATTTGATATAAATGGTTAATTTAGCTTTTCTTTCTAGTAATATATTAACAAGATTCTAAAGAAATAAGTCTTCACGGCATTAATTCATATCTATTAATAGGGGTGGGCAAATGAAAGCTTTTTTGGGAAATTTAATTTCAGACAAGTGGATTCTATGGCCATTTTGGCTGCTGAATACAAATCTAATAAGTATTTTCATTTTAAATTACATCTGATATTGGTATCAGGTGATTTTTCAAAATGGCCACCAAACGCTCCCTCAAATCACATATTTCTCATGTAAATCTTTAAATATCAGTTCAAACATGGCTTTTTATATGTCTAAGCATATGATTTCATGATCAATGAGCATAAATAGATACATCATTTTGGTTGGGTCACTTCATTTTGGGTTAAAAAGAGGATTTTTTGGTCATTTTGAGGTAAAAATCACCCCACAATCACCATTTCTGTGTACATTAATACAAATGTTTATATGCAACTGTGGCTTTTAAATTAGGAAAAACAATAATACAACAAATATGGTCAGTATTGCTCAAGGATCACATGAAACTGAAAAGTTTTGACATATAGAATAGCATGTTAGTTACATATGGGAATATTTACAGTAGAACACTCAGTAGCAGAGCATTAAGGATATTGTTACCAAAAATGAGTTTTTATTCAATCTAATTATTCAATAATGTATCTGTCTTTGTGCTGCTTTGAAACAATGAAAAAACTCTTGAAAATATGAAATAACGGCATTTATATTTTTACGTTGCAATGTATAAGCATAAGCAATTCAAAGCTTTAATCATCTATTTAACAGCTTACTTTTTTGAGATTAGTTAGCAATGCATATGGGGCTTAACTTCATCCCTGAACAAGATTTTATCACAAGGATTGGCCAATGGACTACAAGGGCATGAGCTACAATCCCATGCCAACCTTATGGTTTAAATGCTTTTGTTATGGAGTCATGAGTCCGTAAGGACAGATCTTCTAAAAACAAAGGTATTATTTTGCTTTATCAACGATCAAATCTGAACTAAGGCTTTAAAAAAATCGCTGGCAGGGTTTTGGGGTACTAAATGGTGTCATTAAATTGGCTTTGAAATAGTGATCACGGGTGTTCAGGTAAAATAGACATTTGAGAAACCGATTTTCAGTTTTTACCCCCAAACTGCAATTATACCGTCACCCGTAAGATGACATGTGTAAATGTTAATTAATGTAATCACTGAACACTGAAAATTAATTTATCACCAAAAAGAATGTATGTAAGGCAGTAAATAAGGAGTTTTGGGTGAACAGTGACAATATCCTTATTGTCTTCATTTATAACCTAGTCACACTAGAGGCGGAATGAGCTACAATGTAGTCGGAATAAAAATTTCTTGTTTATTCCTGGATATTTGAAGTATCTTAAAATTCTAAGCGCATTCTAAATGTTTGGGTCCATTCTTGCGTCCTGTTAAAATGTTTTGCTCATTCTCAAAACTATCGAAGTGCATTCCAAGTGGAAAAATATCGAATGGCATTCAAGTGTATTCTAACTGCACTATGAGCGCATTCTTAAATTTCTTACGAAATTCCAACAGCATTCGAAACATTTTGATCACATTCGAGGGAGAACCGAAATGGCAAGGCGCTTCAAATCTTGTCAGAATGTTCCACATTGTGCCTCCAATGAGCAGGAATTCAACTCGAATGCATCTTGATTGCAGGCCGGGATTCAGCCAACAATGAAACCACACTTGTAAGGCATTTGAAGTGCATTCTAAATATTCTCACTATATTTAGAGTGAACGGCATTAGCATTAACGATATTCCTAATGTGTTCCAACTACATTCGAGCTGCATTTGAGAGCTAATGCAATACAACCGAAATGTGCACGAATCATTCCAGGTGGGTTCGAAGCGCATTCTGAGGTATTCTTGCTGGAATTAAGGTCAATTTGATATTACCCAACGAATGTGGCGCGAATTTTGAAAATTCTTCACTATGGCTCATTCTGCTTGATTACTTCAGATTCCAAATAAGTGCGACAGGGGGCTTTACAGTGCCTTCTGGTCTCAGTGTATTTCTTGTTGATGCTTTCATGGTTGTGGTGAGATACTCTTAAACTACACAATTGAATCTAAGTACTATTCCAAGGTCAAGAGCTTAGAGGTTGTAAGAGGTTGATGTCACCTGACAAAGTTTTACCTGTTCTGAAGAAAAGGAAAATTATACAGCATAAAATTTGTTGGTACACATCCATGAAGGTATTTTCAGCATTTTTTTTTATACCAAACTGTAATCCATGAATTCAGTATGTACATAATGGCCATTATTTATATTTATCTTAGGCTCGAAGTGTGTATTTTATGTATATGTTTGTTTTAAATAACATATTTTTACAGATGTCACCCTAACAATATTGCCAATGTCTTGAATATGCTCATATTTGAACTCAGCAACCCTCAAAACATATAGAAAGACATATTACACATCATTTTTATGTACTTTACTGTGAAAATATGGCCAAAAAGCCATTTCCCGCCTTTTTTCACAAACAAATAGCAGATACCAATATAAATCTTTAGCTTTGGTAAAAAATATTGTCAGATTTGTGTTCAGCAGCAAAAATGGCCATAGAATCCACCTGTTTTAAAAAAATTTTGTCATTTGCCCACCCCTACTATTAATCTTGGACGGTATTTACAACGAATAACTTGATTCCTTTATCATTCTAGGTGGAAATGCCCTTTGTCTAGGTCTCTGGGGTCAGGAAAGCGGTCCACATATGCAATCGCTGCATTTCGCGTTCGGTGTGGGTGCACTCATAGCACCCATTGTTGCCCAGCCTCTTTTGTCAAAGAGATTATTTATTAATGAAACGGTAATTTCACTCTTATCAAATAACGTTTCTTCATTTGTGCTTGGTGGGAATTCGACTTTCTCTCCTCTAGAAATCAACGGCGTGTCAGAGAAAACCCTGCTTGTAGGAAATTTAACAAACCGAACTATGAACACGAGAGAAATGTGGACAGAAACTCAAATTATGTATGCCTACATTTCCATTGCCATGGTTGCTTACTTATGTGCTGGACTATTCATGGTAACGTGCATTCATGAACGAACATGCTTCTCTTGGAAAAGACAAGTTAAGAAAACAGAAGATGGGCCTGTGACTCGAGAAGATTCCCTGTGCTTTAAGGGTATATTTTTGATGATTTTAGCATTATTTTATTTTCTTTACGTTGGTCTTGAAGTCTCCTTTGGTGCTCTTGTTACAACTTTTGCATTTGAGATTCTTCACTGGTCCAAACCCAAAGCGGCACATTTGTCTACAGTTTTCTGGGGCTCATTTGCTGCAACTAGAGGTATATCTATAGGAGTGTCAAAGTTTATGGGTCCAACTATTATGATCATCACAGATCTTGCCCTAATTGTGGTATCCATGCTATTGATGGCAATTCTGATCAACACACATGAGATTGTGATGTGGCTGTGTACAGCATTATACGGTATAGGGATGGCCTCATTGTTTCCTGCCGGAATATCCTGGGCTGAACGATATATACATGTGACTGGCAAAAGTGCATCCATGTTTAACATGGGCTCTGCTTTAGGAGAGTTGACTTTCCCACCACTCTTTGGTCATTTTTTTCATGTAGATGGAATGTATTTTGTGTACATATCTCTTGGTGGTGCAGTTGGTAATGCTGTTTTGTTCATTATACTTTATATACTTGCACGGAGACAAGGAGAAAGGTACATTTCTGTGCCCCAGAAAGGAGAAAATGGCGAGACATCAAATCAAGAGCAAACAACAGAACTTTAATAAATGTTAAAATTTGGTATCGCCATTAACACAAAAAAATTCGTACACCGACTGCCGTATATTACAAAGTAAAGGATATCCTAAAACCCTTTCGGTTGACTGATGCATTAATACTGTCTTGCATTCACCGTGGTAGCTACCTAAATTGACAGCCAGGACGTAACACGTTCGATTGAGACCCATTAGAGTGGTACCATCTACCAGGACGATTTATTTTTCACAGATATTCACAGATATGTCTCTAGATAAATAGACAATCACTTGGCTCTGTGTCACCCTGTAATGACACCTTTTACAGTGCACATGGAAGAAAGCTCTTCATTTCTTACGTGCAAGATAAAAAAATTTGCTAAAGCACCCCCCCCCCCTCCGTGGCACCAGTAGCACTATTTCTTAAAGTTGCAGTACTTGTGTTACGACCTGTACGTTGACATATATATATATATATATATATATATATATATATATATATATATATATATATATATATATATATATATATATACAGCTGTGCAAACATCCAACCACTATAACCATCTATGCGTGCCGTGCTTTAGGGACGACTGAACTGTCATTTAGTGTCATTTAGTGGAATTAAGGAGGTGGAATCCCAGCAGAATGCAGAGAAAAACACAAAGAGATAAGATCCACCACAATACACATCCTCATATATTTTAAAATAGTGATTTGTAAATTAAAAGATTTCAAATTTGGCACATCTTTACAATTTCAAACTGTTTAAGAAAGTACTGTTGTCCCACCTTTAGTCCTATTTGCTTTTGTTTATAAATGGTAACATGACAGCTGTAAACCGTTCTGAATAGTCTTTTTTTATTCCATATTCCAAATTGAACATGACTTTTAAGGTCAGGAAAAGCCAAAATACGGTGAAGATACCGATATATTTTATACCATTTATGCAAATTGAGTGCATGCACCCCGTCAATTATATTTCCCGCACTGATTTCCGTAAAAGTAAAAAAAAAAAATGGTTTTAAAATTCAAAGACGTCACAGAATATCATCAAAATTATACACGTGCCTATCTACGGTGTACTGAAATTTCTGTTTGCGGCGCGGCATGCCTCCAGCAAGGTCTGTTTTGCGGGGTATTGTTCCATTCTTCCTGAAGAGCTTGACGGGGTTGTAAGGATTTGTTAGGAGGTTGAATCTTTTCTGCAGCGCGCACTCCAAACCATATTTCCAATAAAGTCGGTCTCAGACCACCATGTTACTAATGTGCGATTTGATGATTTTACATGCAGCATTCATGTACAAACTAGTGTTCGCCGTGAACTGGGCAAAATGGTCACTGGGAATACCCTCTACGAGGGTCACAGATTACTTTTTATCTTCACTTAATATTCAAAAATATGCCACAGGTGTAGTATGTGCACCTTTCTTTTGTGACCAGAGATTTCTGATTTTCTGTATGGAATTAATATTATCACTCAGAAGTCCTGTAGTATAGGGTAGTCACTTACATGAAAAGTAAAAGTGACTGGCTGTTTGCCGGATAGATAGGCATATTCACGAGATGGTATCATATCCCGGTAGAATCTGGCGAACCTGTTGCTCTGATGCCGAGTGGCTCTTGGCGTAGGCAGTCTGCTTCAGAAAACATTGTCCCTTTCCTTCAGAAAACATTACATTCGTCCCTTTCCTAAGTGGACCTTACCCTAAACTGTTCGATTTCACCATGCATTTTGTTGCTCTTGGTCATACCTGGGTCCTTGGCCTGGCTTGTGTTTAATAAATTCTACAATAGCTGATCGACTGAGGTAATTCATTACATCTTGTCCACATCCTCCGCTACACTCCTTTAAGCACCCTCTTCTTGGACCTTCGCCATGATTTCTTTGTTTTATTTGACAAATTTCACGCCATTTGGTTACAAGATGTTGCTGCTATTGTTGATGCAACTGTATCTCTGGCTCCTAAATCAATTCTCTGCGTCTCAAGTGCCTGATGCTTCAAATATCAGTATGATGCTCCCAAATCACTCTCATATGTGGAATTTTTCCACTCTACGATATTTTGGATATTTCATTTCTTCAAATATTACTTTGTTATGTATTTCTTTGTCATTTTTTAATCTATATGATAATTTGAGTAGAATGTAGGGAATAAAATACAACGTACATTGAACATGGCTAAATCTGGTGGGGTCATTTACCACCCTAGCACTGTTTTGTTTCTATTAAAAACATAAACAACACCAAAGCTGCTAACATAGCTCCTGAAAATGTGAAAAATTCATAAAATGTCATGGAAAGATAATGTACTATGAAAAAATACGCACCAGATACGTACCTCGGATAGTCCCCACAAACAAAGATTATTCTAACTGCAGACCAGGTTACAGCAATGACGCGATGTTTTCAGTGGAAAAATTGTGAAATTTACTGATACGGTACAATTTAAATCGTAAATCTAATATAAAATTAGCAACAAAACTATATAGTTCTCTTTTGTTAAGAAAAAGTACAACGGATGCTTCACATTTTAAATTTTTTTTTAATGATTTTAAAATAAAGTCTCTGAAAGGATCGAGTTATTACCGTAAAAGTCATATGCTTCTTTTCTATACAGTGTTATCATTGATGAAAATCTAGTTAAAAAACAACTACGTGAGATTTCCACGACCAAAAAATCACCAAACAATGAACATACTTCGCATGCATCATAATGTATGTGCAAGTAAAATAAACTTGAAAATATGGGCAATATTCTGAAAGGATGCTGAAATAACGTGCGGTAGTTGAGACTTGATTGTGTTCTGAACCATCCGAAGATGAATATCTTGGTCGCTGATTATACACATTATACAGCCCATTTCATTCCTTGTACGCACAATGTCTATTTTACTTACCCTCTAGAAAAAGATATATATGTGATAATACATGGCAACTAAACTGGGGGAAGGGGGCTTATTTAAACATTCAATGTATTTTCATATAGGCCCTGTTACCCACGTGAAATAACTAACGTTTTGCGTCTGACATCAAACTTTACAGGGAACTTTTCAGACTCATGCACCACATAATAAGAAATTGAAAGAAGTATTTTACAGGAATGACAAAAACTCTCAAAGTTCCTTACATTGTCGTGCTTTTTACTCCATGCAGTATGTCATAAATGCAGGTCTCCATGAAGAAATAATCATAAGAATTATTATTTATTTATTTATTTATTTATTTATTTCCGTTGTGGCAATGTAATTAGTCGTTTAAACAGACGTAAGTGCTCGAGACAAACATAAAGAAAAATATGAACCAGACAACCTATGTGAAATATATGAAATCTAGGACCGGAGTAATGGGTAAATGAGTCAGCAGGCCATTCAAGCAAAATATCATCTACTTGGCCTTACACATCTTAATCGTTCAATTTAGTATCTGTTTTACAATGCAGCGTATAGGTTGGGGGCATTATAATTAAAACAGTTATCCGTACAAGTTATTTGGCTAACATCCCTGAAATGAATTCACTTTGCTATCCGAAACGAAAGGTTCAGATCCCGTGGTCATCCCATTATGTGCCAATTTCTAGCAATTACCTGTGCCAGTCTGTTTGCAAGCATGTGAAAATACCGTTTCAAAGAAAGTTTAATACCATATCGAATGGTTTTTGCTGTAAAAATGATCTCAAATGCTTTTTTTCAAAAATATTAACGTTATTATTGTTATATTAATGTTTTTCTTTTTGCTGATACTAACATATCCTGGGTTGTCCATAATAGTTAATTTTTCGAAATAGGAAAGTTCCATATATTTTACAATGGCTTTGGCGATAAAGTATAAAGCAGTGAAGCCCATTGTATTAATCAGTTTTTATTTAAAACAACATAACTTTTATTATCATTGATTATTTGGTATTGTTTTCATTAAGTTGGCCCAAACGGTTATGCTAAGAATGAAAGGGCCCCATACGGAATTTCCCATACGGCAAGTAAAAAACTTATTCTAGAAAACAACTTTCCAAACATATTCACAAATACAAACTTCTTTGTTTACTATCACTCCGTCGAATTCCAAACTGAAAAAAATACCCTCGATGTTTTTCTTCATAAATCTTTTAAAGGCAAGTGTACGTGTTCATTTTCCTTTCTTTCTTTTTATTACTAGAAGATAAGAAGATGCAAGCGACAAATAACCGTTTACGACCATTTTTAATGAAGACATCTCTTCGTTGATTATATAAATATTTCATGCCTGTCGCACCAGATATTTTACAAATTACTTAAACTCTCTAAGCAAAATCAGTCAGGCAGATCATTTTAACGACAGGCATGCTTCGTAGTAGAAATAACACAACAAAAGAGTTTATTTTAAGCAATCTTTAATCAAACAGCCTTTTTCATCTTTTTATACACCTTCACGTTTTATAACATTTTTACAAAGCATTTTTGTATAAAATAAATCGACTTTCTGATCCATATCTTACAAACGAAATTTTCCGATAAATGAACTTATACAAGTGAACGTCTCTGTGCTACAAGAAAGGTAAGATGGCTGCAATTCGGGACACTAAATACAGTGAAGGCGAGACCGATAGCAAAATGGGTCACTACCACTCACCATCGTATTCCCATGTTTTTCCTAGCCTAAAGTAATAACCCATAAGTCTCGGCAATGTACCAAATTAGAGCCCTATTTTAAATGGTATTTAATAGCATAATTCCACAACAGTGACAACCCATTGCATTCACGCCGTAAAGAAGTAACAAAGACATTGTCATGGTTTCAGCAAATAGACTCAGTTGTGAAAGCAACATTGTCAGATCCACGCTTGCTCACAAACACTGGTACTGCATTCTTCAAATATTGTGCTATAGACATTATGAATGAGTCGAGGCTTCTATCACTGCCTGTAAAAGTTGCATAGAATCTAGAATCAAAAACTAGAGCATTTTGGGTTTGTAAAATGTCTGTCCCGTTCAAAAAGCCTCCATTCCCATATTATGTTTTACATGCGAAGTATAAATCAGCTGGGTGGTACCACAGTGAAGATCGGCAATATTTACAGCTTTTTGTAAAAAATGTATAAGAACCATCAAGCCCGGTCATTCACGCTCGTGCCTCATGACCTCTCATTGTAAATTATGACGTTATTAGCAAAATCGACTATGACAACATACTTTTATGAACAGAAATTTAAGGATGTTTTTGTTCCTGAATTTGGCAAAATTCGGCACAAGCGCCAAAGATTAAAAATAAGTTTTTCTGTCACTTTGGCAAATTCAAATTCTAGATTTATGATAACACCTACAAATGATGCTGTAATGAAGCAGTAGTCTGTGAAAATTGAATGATCGATGAAGAGTTGTAATTACAATCTGAGACTGATTAATCATAATACTATAATGAAGACATTCCTAACAAATGCTGTCACCCAGGTTTAAGTCGAGTCCTATTCCTCTCAATCAGCAACTCATGGGGCTGATTTTAAACAAGAAACATGGAACCAACTCAACAACATTAAAAAAGTTTGGGTACAAGCATAACTTAGACATATTCTATAACCTAATAAACTCAAGATATGTGTGTCCATCACACAACCAAAATATCAAAAGTGAAAATATCTGCAAAACATTGCAGACGAGTTGGGATATTAAAAGGAAGCAAAATATCTACTATAACCTACATACCACATTAATTGGTAATTTTACACAAAAAACAAAATCTTGATTCTAACAGATACTCTGCAGCAAATATTAAAATAGCTTAGAATTACCATGGTTAATTATTATTTTAACTTGGAGTGATCTGACAAAGATTAAGGGGGCAAACCTGTGATCATGTATAAAAAAAAATGGAAACAAATGTTATAATTTGCACTGAAACCAATTCATAATTACTTGATCAACAGTGGTGCATAATTATGAGTGCACTTTTTAAAACCATTTCTATTTCACATATGTTAATAAGACATTACTAATGCACAATTTTCTGGTTAAATCATTGAGCAAGTCATCTCAGGTTTTGTTTTCTTTTTTTTAATACGTACTTCACTCATCTTGACTCGTGGCATTTATGTTAAATCAGCCACTCGTTCTTTCAAATTGCTCTCCTTTTTTCATTCACTACTCTGTACACATCTACATACCTCCTGCCCAACCCCCTTGCTAACTACACGATCTGCAAAACATTGGCCATTCCTACAAACAATATTCAAACTCCTTTGCTGTAATCTAAGGGGAGGAGTTTCATTTACAATGATGTATTTTCATTAAATACAAGAATTTAGAGTGAAAATTCACTTTTTGAACAATATGTACAAAGAGCAAAGTATACACAACGCAATACCATATCTACTCAAGGATAATTCTCCATGCCCACCCTCCCGTCCCACAAAATCATGAACTCTTCAAACACTTCCCCTCCCCTCCCCCCAATGTGCTCTTACAAGATCCTCCCTCCCCTGTCCATAACCCTGGTAAATATATATATATATATAAATAATTATGCTAGCACTAATGCCTGCAAAAGTGCAGAAGTTATGGCAACTGTGTCATGGATGCTTGTGGTGGAAAGTAAAGTTACAGAAGGAAGATACTGCCCAGTCATCCAACTGTTCCGCTTCATTTAGAACATGATCCACACTTGACTACACAGCATATGTACATCGATCAATAACCATGCTAAAAAGTTCTGCGCTGAATGCTAGTCAAGTTGAGTGATTAACTGCAGTGCAATGATATCACATTTCCATAATTTTTATGTCAAAAAATCTGGCTTCTTATCTCTTTTTCAAATGACCATGAAAGTCCAGATTGGAAAATGGTCAGTGCAGGAAGGAATGACCACACCTTTAAGTAAAAGACTCATTCACTCAACATTTAAGTCTTTCTTAAACTTGGGTGTTCTTTGGCAGCGATTACAGGGATTTGTTCTCAGCTAAATCTCTGGTTGCCACTTCCATATTTCATCTCTGCCTCACTGCATATGTTATTAAAGTACCATGGCCCTGTGTGTCTGTGCTTTTACAGGTAACCTAGGTATTTTTCTTTTTAACCACAGTTTGTTGTAAGTTCTCCACACTCAACAATGATGGGACTAAAACATACTGAAAAATTGGTTTGACACTTGAACAAAGGGGGTCCATTCCACTGTTGACTCACAGCCTTGGCTGTGAAACTAGTGCTATCTTGAGTTTAAATAATGTCTGTGAAAGCAGGCTGATATTAGCAAAGAGATGCATAATAGCCACACTGAATGTTCTGTACTGTATTTGCTACTGTTGATGGAAGTGTGGGAGTCTTTCGTACTCTTGAAATGGGTTGTTCCTGTAATGAAATTACAATATTCTTAATTCATTTGCAGCAATGATAAAAATTCAAATGGAGTTCACTTTAGCAATACATGTGTTATCAACTTATGCTAGGAACTGAAGTATAAAGCCGAGCCAAGCAAAAATATTTAAATATTCATATTACATCTTTTTATGATATCTGTTGGTCAATATTCTTTCTATTTAAATCAAATCAAGAAAGTTTTGTATTGATAACTATGACACAAGTCTGGGGGCCTCACAGGATGCGGCTCAATGATAATTATCCCTGTATTACCTCTAGACTGTTATCAGACCACTCATCAACTGATTAATTAACGCAAAATTTATTATGAAAAAACTATGCATGACACCATCTACATCAAAACCTAGGGTGAAAACTATCAAAATTGGAAAATTCACTTAACTTTTACAATTTAATTTATTATTTAAAATAAAAAACTTCATTGTGCTTGCAAAATGCAAGTTGTAACTTACCTTGAGAACTTGTAGTGGTGAATTTGTGTTTTGTGGTCCCCAAAGTTGTTGTAGTTGTGGTGGGTGTGGTTGACGATGTTGTCGTTGGCGTTGTTGTTGTACTAACACTCTGGGTGGAAGTTGTGATTGCTGCAAAAAGAAAATTCTCATAAGATTGATCAAGTTGCTTAAACTTGAAATTTGAAAATGTTTCAGATGTTAATGTCTTACAGAAAAATTGTACACCTTTACTTTTTTCATATGCGAAATAATCACTATATTACAAACCATTTTTAACATACAAAATTAAATGCTTCAAAAATATGCCATTTCTCTAAATGGGATAGAGAGAGCATTGTGAAACTTTTTATTTCATAAATCAATCTTCCAAATCTTATAACAGACTTGACTATAAGTAATTGAAATTTTTGGGGTCCAGGAAAAAAATATCTTCAAGAAAATGCATAAACCCAAATGATACAGGGAAGTCACTCATGCACTGGCCTTAACTAACTAATACAGTTTCATGCACAATGACTTCAATGTCTCAGTATCATTAATGGCAAAAATTCCACTAAAATAACAATAATGGGATGCTAAAAGATAACTGCTCTGTAACCTCCTCCAAAAGGAAACAGTTTAAAACTTAAAGGATAAAAAATTGCATAACAATAAAATAACTTTTAAAACTTAAAGGATAAAAAATTGCATAACAATAAGATAACTTTCTGATTTCATGGTTACAAATCTCCAATGGCCCAAAAATTAAAAATAAGATAAAATAATGTACATAATATAAATGATTCAAAAAGTCCATTGAATAGCAAAACAAAGAAAAATCTCAACATTCCATGGGCTTAAGTAATAAACCTGGATTCATTCTAAAAAAAATAGCCAGATAAAAACATAAAATACATAACAAAACAGCTTTTCCTATTAGCTTTTTTTTCCCTATACTGTAACAACTTTGAGTTTCTAATATAATGTGGTAAGTAAAATAAGTGCTTGTTGGACTATCTGCTGCCCTATGTATGGGAGTTAGTGCTGGGTCGCATCATGCAGAAAGGAGGGTTGTGTATGCTGACTGCAAGATAGTGTGATATTAGTTTAAGGAACCATTCATGGAAAAGGATTTGAGATGGGAGGAACCAATGAAAATTTACAATTTGCATGTCATGTCTGTGCATAGCAAGTTCAAAAAAGCTTATAAATTTACTTTGCAGACATTTTTTCATTCCATTTACAGATTACAAGCATTTCTTACATTAAACATAAAATACAAAATTTGAATCTGATAGAGATACAGAGATAACTATTTAACAAACCAATAGGAAGATTTAGAATAGAACCAATTCCACGAATAGCCCCCTTCAGCTTTTGGAAAGGAAAAAGAGAAAAAACAAGCACAACAAGCATTTTGACCCAAAGATTACAATACAAATTCTAAAAATGGACACAAAGATTTTGTAAAACCCAAGTTGTATTTCTCTGTTATCATATATTTTTGTGTGACAAAAGTTTTTCAGTTATTTTTCTACTTTTGGTGAATACATTTTTTCAAGGCCAAAAACCCAAAAAGTAAATGCAGAAAATAATGTGTAAAAAGTTTGGGTTTTACATTGTTGGTAGCAGGATGATTTCTATAAATACTTACGACATTTGCGATACTGTTGTGTGTTGGTACAGTGGGGAGACCCTGTAGAAGGTTAGTGAAGGGAGAATGACACATTTGAAAATAATCTGATAATATAAAAAGCTCTGAAAATTTCATCTAGTTGAAAACCAGTAGAAAACAGAAGCTCTGTAAATGTCACCTAGTTACAAACCCAAAGAAAAACCCAAATTAGTTATACAAGGCCTTGACTACTTAAAACCACACTCTGCCCAGAAAATTGCTCCAAAAACATGGTTTTATGAGATGCCTCATTTCTCTTTTAAAAGCTTGCATATAAAATATTTCAAAACATTATTTTCTGAAGTGATTTGCCACAGATCAATGGTATATTGTATTTCTTTTTTTTTTTTGAGGGGAAGGGGGTTTCTGAAATTTTCTACAAATTTGCAATCATGGCAAATTGCCTTTTGTGGTAAATTTATCAAGTGTTAGATGCATCTCATTTTTAACCATCCCACAGTGAAGTAAAGCAGTTAGCCGAGCCATAAGTGTATCACTCAGAGTTGAACTTAGTGATTTGTGTGTAGAGGAAGCTGCATATGCCAGTGACCTATATAGTATACGAGCTGTGAAAAGCAATTTAAAGAAAAACTATGCTAAGCCTAAATATCTTTTTGAAGAATAATCATTTTCACCATTTTATAAATTGTTCTAACCCACTAGATTTCAAAAAATATTCTAATTTATTCTATCAAAAAGTGAGCTTCATCACATTTTATTCAAAACTAGTTATGCCAGTCATACATGTCTTTTTTAGTAGGTTATTTTTCCTGTCATTGCAAAATCTCACTATCTTTATTATTATCATTATTGATATTTGAAGAAAATATTGTCAAACTTCCTGAAGTTAAGTTTTTGTCTTTTTTGTCACTTTACTTGACCAATTTCCTTGCATCAATTCTTTTGTCACAAGAATATAAAATATATACCAAAAACAGCTTTAAAAAGCATTCAGATATCCATTTCAACATAACAGTCTCCTACAGCTTTGCAGACTAAAATAACCCTGCAATTACTTTCAAACTTTTAATGTATGGTACAATTTTGGTTAAATATCTTCATTTTATGCATTTTGTCAAATAAATTGTTGATGCCTATTCAGAAATTTAGTTGTAACGCTCCTAAATATTCTTGTCTTATAAAGACATCTGACCTCAGAGCAACTTTCGTGCCTTCCACCATAATTGAAAGGTCTGTGGTTTTATTGTTCTTGCAATGAGAAAAATAGCTCTCTTTACATTACCCTTAATAGTACCATGAACTCTTGGTTCTAAATCATTGTAATTTCAGTTAATTTAAAAGGGATATCCTTGTGTTCTATCTCACTAAATGCCAAAGCTAAATGTAAAAAATTATTTTGTTGAGTACTGCAGTTGAAAAAAAAGAGCATTTTCAAATATTCATAACTAAGAAAGGGGGGAAATATATTTTTCAATTTGAATGAAAAAATGCCAATATCTTAAATAACAAGACATCTGATGTGATCATACATCTGTACTTATCTATGGTACTTACTTGTAGATGAATCACAGCAAACTTTTAACATGATTTTCATGTTTTTCTCCCGACAAGCCCCTTGCCTGCGGTTATTTATGCCGGTCAAATTCCCGGTAGATGTGGCTAAAACTAAAATGTACAAAAACATTTAATCATACAAAAATAAAGATCATTTTAAAAATGCTGTAAAGAAGAAGATTATTTAAGGTGATTAGTAAGGCAGGGTGCTTGCTGGCCAAACCATGATATGCAGGGTGTTATCTTCAGCAATGGAAAATCCACACTTTTGTCAACAGAAATCTTACTTTTTATTTTCTATTTGACTACACTCACAAGGTGCCAAATTTAACAACAAGGTGCAATGTCAGGACATAAAAGTACTCCAATGAACTGATGTAGATTCAAATTGAACAAGTATGTGGTTTCCATTTGCTGTTCTAAGGTGCTTGGTATATTGGAAGTGCTATAAGAAGTGGGTGTGCCGTGAATAGAAAGAAAGGAAAAGCTTTAAAAAAATACAAACAGAAAAAAAACATAAAACAAAATGATACAATATTGAAGAGAAATATAAAGGAAGATAAATAACTTGGTGTGAAACATAACCTTCTATTTAAGGAGTGACTAGAAACTAAAGTTTGCTATCAAGCATTTACTTGTCATTCAGTGAAAGATGTATACCCTACTGTGCTAGAGAAAAAGAAAGCACAGATAAAAAATGTAACTAATCCTCAGAAAGCAACATATGTATTCTGAATTTAAATAACAAAAATAAGGTGATTTACAGTGAATAAAATATAAACACTCATGACCATTGATTATTAATTACACCACAAGGACATATTAGCTTCTAGTTAATATATTTTAGTTTTGTTAGATAATGAATGACAAAACAAAACAAAATGGTTACATGAATAAAAGAGAAGCAATACTTAGAGTAAAACCAATTCCTGAGAAACAAACAGCAAAACAAGCATATCATGCACTAGTTGGCCCAACCCCAATTGTTTCAGTACACATCATGCAGCACATGCACAAGTACGGCACTTTTCATGCAGGTCAAGGTCATGGTAGGCCAAGGTCAAGGTCGGTAAATCAAACTTACTGATATAATAATAAGTCATTCCCTCGTTAAACTCTAAGGAGCCAGGGATGCCAGTATGCGGTAGTATTAACAGTGTGAAAAGATCTGTCCTAGCAGGCCTGCTGCAGTTGATAATTTCTATACGGCGGGGTTCATTTTCAAATAATTTACACTCATCATATTCTTTTTTGGAAACCTGTAAACAAAAACATGTCACAATTTATATTTCATCTAGAAAATTTCAACTTACTCAGGTAATAATATGTTTCCCCTGGGACAAACTGATATTCTGATTGAGGCAAAGGGGAAAAGGCTGTCATTATGATTGAATAAAAAGATTCAGATCCATAGGGCTGACTGCAATTGATGATCCAGGCATTTCTGTTGGCATTTAAGCTACAGCCATCATATTCCTCCCTGGAAACCTGTAATATACAGCAGCAATATAATGAGGGAAAACAATCAAGTATCCATAATCACCCAACTCCCTTTTATCTGTGCTCAATTAAATTTTTATAATTTTTGTCTGGTCAGAGAAGTATAACTGGAATGGAAATGAAAGTCCTAAAGGCTTATCATCTGATGTATATTAAGGAGCAGGCCAAAGGCTATGTGTGACATGCCAAAGTGAGGGGGGGGGGTCACCTGTGGAAATCCACAGAATAGCCTGTTAACTTGCGAGAAAACATAAGAAAAAACCTTTGGTTATCAGCTCTCTATTAATAAGGAGCAATGATAATGCTGGAAATCGTCCCATCCACTACGTTTCATTTCCATTCAAGTTTTACTCTATGGTCTGGCAGAGAGTAGAGCTAATATTTATCTCAAATCAAAAGTTCAATACTGCCTGTGATTAGTCAAGATTTTCTGGTTCATTCATATCTGTGATGATTCAAATTACTCGACATGAAAAATCTTCTGAAATTTTAGAACCTTCTAAATATATGACAAATATCATCTTTCTTTTATATCTCCCCATTACCATCCCACCCAACTTTTCTTATTAACTGATTTCTTCAATTACTCATTTTATTTCAGTTTTTATTTCAATCAATCATCTATTCACATGGTATAAGAACGGAACACATTTATATCCAGGTGCTCAATGAATTGGCTGGGTTTGGCTATGCTGAAATGAAGAAAATTATTAGACACTACCTTTGAATGGTTTATTTACTAAAGGTGTTTCTTACATAGTGTATTTCTCATTAAACACCTATTGAAAACTTTTCCTCATGCTTGGTGCATTTCCTGCAAGGCTATTTCTTGCCTCTGTTCCTTCCCATGCTGATAAGATCAGCCTGCCTCTGCTTAGAGCAGGCAGAGCTATGAGTGCCATGACACAACCCCATCAGTGCATTGTGTTCCTTTCTTTCAATTGGAAACCACAATAAGGAAACCATTCACCAGGTGGGGGCCGAATTATATAATAAAAGAAACCAACTTGCTCATAGTAATCCAACAGCACTGTTTTCATATTATCACCCACTGATTGCTACTTAATATATTATTAATTCTTGCTCTGTGATTTGCAATTGATTGCCATCCCACTGAGAGTAACTGTACATAATTCATTAACACTGTACTTAAATTACAATGCCACTGAGTTTAAGCAGACATACATCAATCATGTTCTCTTCTGAAATGAAGTTATTTAGAAGTAAGTGTTCATCTTTTTATCCACTAAATTGCAAATCTGTTACTTTTGCATTTCTAGAGTTTTACAATAATTTGATGGATTTATTCAACAGACCTGTAAAATAACACACATCCATCACTTTCTTCAAAATAACTGCAATTTCATTTGAACTCAGAAAGGCTAAAATCTTTTATAGGATATGATACAAAAAGCAACTGCATTATGGGCACTTTGCATGATTATTAGATATATTTCATTTATAAAATATGGAATCTACTTTCACTTGAATTCTTTTAAACCAGTTGTCTCAAACCTAAATCATGACTGATTTAGAAAAAATAAAGAGTTTTAAAAATTCTTTAAAAGTAGGGACAACATACATCAAAAGTAAAAGCTATAAAAAGTTGACTTACTTGATAAATCACATAATATGCATCATTTGGATCTGTAATGGTGGAAGTGTATTTAGGGCAATGAAAGTCCACTACATCATTGATCCTTACTTCTATCACATGATCATTGTTACTAGTCTGGAATCTGCAAAGAGAAAAATGATCCAGATATAATTTCATCAAAAGCAGTGACGTTTTACATAACTCTTTTAATTGACCCAGCCAACTATATTTGTACTTGTATGAACATCCTTATTCAAAAGCTTAATATGATAGTTTATAAAAGTACATAATAGTACATGCACAGTCACGAAAGTTTATATTGAAGAGAACAATGAACAAAGGGAACAATTCAATAAACAACATATATGCATTATAATGTTCACTTGTTAGCAGCACACTGCATTTATAATATCATTTGATAAAGAGAAAAAAACAACAAATATCAGTTTTTCAGATTTCTATCACTAATTCATTTAAATACTGATTAGCATAATTTTTGAGTGAAGCCAAATTCTGTCAATAGGTGTCAGCACTAACAGTTCAGCCTTTATGTCAGTTTTATTGGCTTTTATTTTACCATAATGTAGAATCCATAACCCAATATTTAGACTTAATTAAGCAATTGTGGTTACAAAAATTACAGGAAATGCAATTGTAATGCCATTGTCTTGAACACTACTTATTGCCATCCTAAATAACACCGAAAAGGAAGCAGTAAAGGAAACCCCTTGGATTCTTTATAAGAGGGAGTAGAGAACTTTTTCTGGTGAGAGAATATCACATTCAACCATTAAACCTTTCATCAATATCACTAAGATATTATCAAAACTGATCATTGCATAAGAGAAAAATGTCTCACAACTTTTCTGGGTACAAGCGCCTACCTAGCATAACAGTCAGGCTATCAGTTCAATCTTTTCCTTCCGGCTATTTTGCTAAAGACACCCATTTATTCTTCAGTTAAAGAATAAGGCCTATACTTATGTGCATTATAAGTGCCTGATATGCTGCATGCTATCTAGCTATTCATAATTCGCCTCTTCAATGACCAGTTTAATATTTTAATGTTAACACATTTTGGCCTATAGCTATGGAAACTGTCCAAAGACAACCATTCGGCTGCCCAGTGTCCATGTCTAACTGGACACTTTTAGTGGTGGGCTGAAGAAATATAAGAGCAGGAGACAGAATGTCCATTCTACAAAACTAAAGGCCAACTTGTTTATCTAAATATATTCAAACTGTAGACATCTGGATTTAGGACAATATCTCCCAGTTTGAGCTTTCAAATTTGGCGAGGGGCTCGTGTATCTAAATTGGCCACAGGCAAAAGTTACTGTTATGTGAAATGCATTCAAGCTGCAACAAAAACCCATACAGGTGATGCAGCTTCAAATTTCAAATCATTACAGAGACCAAGTATTATTCTATTTTCTTGGTCATGTACCCTATGACCTCTCAAACAAACCGGTTGAATGGATCCAGCTTTGAATTCAACATGGAGGACAAACAATCTGTATTTGTGGTCAGTAATTTGCCCAAACAGGATAGAAACACTGTTTCTGTAAGCCATGTTCCACAAAGGATTTGTATTGACCCTGGACAACCACCTTTCTGACACCTTCCACCATCTTTTGCAAAAAAAAAAACCCAGAGAAAGTTTAACCAATAGTCTCACAAGGGAGCAGAATGTTCTGCCGAAAATTGGATAACATACCTAGTTGCCTTTCACTATCTAACCACAAGAAATGGGCCCAATGTTGCAGGATTTTTTAGCACTCCATGCAAAAACAAGCAGTCAAAGCTGAAGTTAATACTATTTGACTGTTTGATCCCCAGCCCCTGATCTCATACATGTAACCCTGCTGACCTGTCTAAAGAGTCTTACAACTAGCTGCTGCGTGTGGGGGACAATGGATCTAGGGATGACCTTCTCAAAACTTCGCCCTTTACACTTCTCTGCATAGCCAACCCATTTGAAAAAGTTAAAACTGCTCATTTAAATAAGCAAATATTTCTTCTTGAATTAATTGTAAAAATTAATCAAATCTGGCATATATTTCTTTCTTGTATGCAAAATTGGTGGGAGCTATATGAACATTTTGTTCCAATTGTTGTCATACGCTTTCAAAGTAATAAGACATTCTTCATATACAGCAGCATGTAAAATACACTGAATCGTTTTATGTTAAAATTTCAGTGAAAATGAAAGAATATAAGTTTTGCACTGGTAAAATATCTGAGGTGGAAACATTACTGTGCTGGCCTTTGTAATTTCCTTGTTATCTACCAAATCTAATAAACCTATTATAATAGTCTTGGGAAGATGAGTCAAATGTTCTAAGTGACCAACTTGAAGAATATCATTCCTCCTTCCCCTTCTCAAATCCCAATTTCAATGTATTTTTGTATCTTTCAATATTTAAATCATCTAAAAGTTGACCATGTTATATATAAGCAGCCTCATTCCAACCAAACTCACTCCAGTATTGACGCCTTCTACATTAAAGACACTACATACCAAACCATATGCATATGTGATGGGAATAATAAACCTTCTGTTTTTAATCAATTAATATTCAGATCACTTTACCACCTAAAATATCCTAAGTGGTTAACCATAAAACTCCTTGAAGCAAATCTGTACCTTATCCCTTTGGCCAGAATTGATAAGTGAAATTTATGGGGCTTGAAAATACCATGGCACTGGCTATTATCAACTTAGATAACACAATTACCAGTACCATGATGACTGTAATCATATTCTGTCCACAAAGATGCATCTGAGAGGTTGCAATTACAAGACAGCAGGGTCTAATGATCACTGATTACAGAACCTAAAGTCATTTATTTTAATGAGGTCTGTAACATATGGTCGACCTCTCAGCCTGGAATTTATTTACTCCTTATGTTTTTGAGAGTGACAGAAAATTCTATCTGTTAATAACCATGTTGTTTATGACTGATATGTGTCTGAATATAACATATGACAGCTTTCAATTCCATTTAGTTAACAACAATGGAATTTGATGTATATACAATTCATTTAGAAACTATCCAGAAATATAAAGTTCCAAACACAGCAGTCTGTAAATGTGTTCAAGACAGAATTATTGTTCCACAACACTAAGCCTTTCTCCCAAGGTGCCAAACTCCCTCAGCTTTGATAGGTTCAGGCCCAGAGAGCTGCTATGCTCAAGGAAGCTTGGTGACAACACAGCAAGGTGTGAGGCAGCAAAGCAGCAAGATCCTGTTCTCTTCAATTTAACCCACAAAGTGGTAAAAGCCAACAAAATTATAACCTCAGCTTCACAGCACATTTTACACTGCTCAGCAAGTATTTTTTCTTCCTTGAAAGCAGCCAAAAAAGTAGTGATGATAGAAAAGGAGCTGGCTGATATATAAGCTGTATTGGTCTATGTAAAAATCTATGCTGTACTTTTGGGTCCTGGCATGTTTCTATGGTTCACCGATTTGCAGACATTTCCATCAGTCTGCCCCAATTTAAGTGGATGTCTTGCTTTTAAAATAATATTTTTACCAGTTGAAAGCATTTGGTTCCTTTTAAGATAACATTTTAAGAGAATTTTACCTGAAAAAATTAACTGCTGAGCTTGCAGCCAACAAGTTTTCTATTATCAAGTTCTCTCAGGTTCATTCTAAAAGAGACAGCACCTACTTTGGAAAATGGAGACAATACCAACTTTATATTCGACCACATAAGACATGTTAACATATCTAAGCCCAGATAATCTTATCTGTGAAGTGATGTTAGGGCATGGGAGTCACCAATGCACTTGCTGATGTCTCCAAATCAGTCAACCTGCTGTCTGTCACAGCAAATTGACAACATCATTTAAAACAACCCACCAGTCTGTAAGATCTTTTGACCTCTAGACATAAAACATGACAACATTGTACATCACTATGCACAATAAAGTATAGTCCTACCAGATATAGAGGGGTACAGGTAGAACTAAATAGCAGTGTAAGAAGTGATAAGATAAAATGATCTGAAGACATGCCACGTATATGCAATTGGCCAGACATGGCCTCTAGATTTTTCAAGAAATAGCAAGCAAACTCTTTGATAACAAAAGAACCAGTGTCTATGTATGTATTAATGTAGATGGGGAAAAAAAACATGACTGGGATGACCTAGTATCTAACACACATTTCAGTTCACATAATGCCATCATCCCGTAGCCACACCTATGACAATAGACAGGTGAGGGAATTGGATAGAGAGAAATTTGATGAGAGAGTATTGTTCCAGTGTCATTATGGAGCTCCCAATGCTGTACTGGTATTGAGTACAGTAAGCAGTGGTGATTAGCACTGTTGTATGTGCACCACAGTGTGTGTCAAGAGGAGAAACTTGTCCACATGCCTCTTCAGTCTATATAAAAGAAAGTGAGACAACTAGTTTTCATCTCTCTGGAATGCCAGCCCTTGTTCCACTGAAGTGATGATGGAAGGGGAGGAGGAGGGGGCAAGTTTAGTCATTCTGACATTAAGTTACAGACCTGAATAAATCATTGAACTGCTTTGTATTCATCAATACACCATAATACATCTACAAAGGGGCTAAACACTATAAACTTATGCGTCAGATTTTATTTGAGACCTAAAATTCCAGTCTCATTTCCTCTTTTCTTAATCACTACCATTTGTTATCTGTTTGATCTCCTTGCTCCCTGTACAGTGACACTATGAACTTAGGAGGTTCTATCAAAATGTCCAGATCTTCCTTAAGACAGAGGTCCTTGTGATATCCCTGCCATTTGGTATGCATGAGAAGCAAAGGCACACTATTTTGCCTGTGACCTGCTATTACCAATGTCCACTCATTGGACATTAAATAGACTGACCACTCAGTCCAGGTTGGGAAAATCTATTTAGATGGAGACCCTGTGAACTAATGAATGATATTCGTTGTCACTGATTACTCTCTAAATCACCTTCGGAGACTCACTTGACAATAAAATCTTTATCAACATTTAATGTGTTTTTTCTTTGAAGTTATTGGGAATGTACATGGTGAAATGTGCCTGTCAGGAAAAATAAATTTGTCTGCCACAGTGCTCATTACTCAGTGTGGAATTTCCCATTCTGGTCCTGGAGCCCTCCCTTTTTCTTAAT